TCTCAACGGACGGACACAGCGCAGTATCATCAGCAGCTGGGCCGCCGAATTGGTGGGAATATTGTGCGGCATCCAGCACAGAAACGACGTGGAGACAACATAGATGAACACGTCCAGCGCTGCAGCGACGTCCTTGATATACGCCTTGGGCGTGAAGAACAAGCCATCGGCCAGTATCTTCATGGCCAGCTCCAGGCTCATGAAGATGACGAAGCCATATTCAGCGATCTGCAGCGTGGGATGATCCATCAGGCGGTAGCTGGGCGTCTCGAACATCATCGAGATGCACGAGAGCGTGGTGGCGAATATCATCACCCAGTCGAGATAGGTGACCAGACCTAGGAAGTTACTAATGGATGGATGGGCATGCGAATCATGCAAATGGGAATTAGGCACGTCCAGCTTGAGGCAACCTGAGGCGCTACTTACTGCAAGCTCTTGTACTGCACCTTGCGCTCCTTGCCGGTTAGGGGATCCTTCAGGCGCGCATCGTAGCGTGCGTGCACGATCTTCTGGCAGATCTTGCGGAAGCGACTCTCGCGCGGCACCAGAAACAGCGGCGTGTCGAAGAACGGATGGTTTTCCCGTAGATCTTCCTCGCGCTGATTGCGGCGCATTTCTGCCTGTTGGCGCTTCGCCTGCAGCAGCTTGATGTCCAGATCGTGAGGCCGGGCCCGGCCCGAGTTGGCACGTGGTGCGGCCGCAATGTCACCGTTCTCCATCAGATGCTCGTAGGTCTGCTTCAGCTTGATCGAACCGGAACGGACGCTGCGGCGTATCGAACGGGAGCCGAATCTGCGAATTGGTAGCGTACACACATCAAACGAATCATGCCGCCCACGGGCAAAGTTCACTTACTTTTTCTGATCGACGCGCCAGGGCTTCGAGTGCGTGATCGTGCCCTGGGACTTGAGGCCACCTTTGGTGCCCACCACGGGCAGCATCGCGGAGTCGCCCAGCATCAGGCGTTGATTATTGCTGTCACTATGGGCACGGAAGATTATCAAGCAATCTTATCAATAACTCAAAATAATATTAAATTCCCGTTACTCACTTAATGATGTGCGTGATTGCCAGCTTTCGGAGGCTACTGCCAGCGGCTCTCACCTTGGCCGTCTTGTTCATGATGCGCACCGGCTTCTGCTTGCGGAATACCACATTGGACTCCCAGCACTCGGACATGGGACGCTTACAGTTCTCGACAAGCGACGGATCGTCCGTCTCCAGTTCGATTACGAAATGCTTCATGAAACTCTCACGTACCTTGGGTAGTATAAAGTCGTTGGGAATACGGTGCAGAATGGTCATTTGTGGTGAGTCTGGGAATTTCTCAAAAATTCGTAGGCGAAATGGTAGAGTTTCTTTGATTTCGGCGCTTTGCTCGCGAAACTTGAGCTGCTTCAGCTTTTTTATGTCCTCGTCCAGCTCCAAATTATCCAAAATGACCGCCACGAAAAGACTGAGCACGATGAGCGTTACGAAAAGATGGTAGAGTATGAAGTAGACGGCGACAAGCGGTGTCAGCGTCTTGCTGGTGCGTATCATGGTCTCATCCATGACCTCCACCCACGCCTCCTGTGTCAGAATCTGGAACATGCTCATGAAGGCCTCCGGGAACGACTCGAACTTGGTGAAATCGCAGAGGAAACAAAACAGTTGCATTGAAATGCTGGAGCTGATGATCAGCAAGCACATGGTAAAGATGATCAGGGAGCCGAGCTTCTTGCCGGGCCCAAAGATCTTGTAGACAAAGCCCTCGAGCATGGGGGAGGCCTTAATCAGCCGCACGACCCGGAGCACTTGAAAGTACGTCAATCCAGACAAATAAAAGATGGGCACGATGTGCAGCGTGGTGCCAGCGGCCAGCAGGAGCTCGAACTTGTGTATTGAGTGCTTGTAGTAGCCGCGCCAGCCCAGGCAGTAGATCTTAAACAGTGTCTCGAGATCGAGCAGGCAGGTGAATATCACCTCGATGTAGTAATATCTCTCGTAAAAGACGTGACGAGGCCGGCCATCATGCTTGAACGCCATCGTGGCCGTCACAATGCCATTGGCCAGGATGACCGTCATGACCAGCATCCGGAAGTAGGGCGAGCGGAGGATGGCATGGCATGTCTCCGGTGCCAAGCCGCCGTGCTTGTTATCATCGATCGTGACCAATCGCCAGCCGGAGTCGTTGCCGCTGAGTATCTGGGAGGCGGCCGTCTTTTGGATATGCCCCCTGGCTCCCCACATCTGTTGAAACTGGACGCGTATCTCGTTGAAGGTCTCCGTGATGACAGCAATGAAGACGTTCTTCACCAGCCAAGCTAGGAAAAATATCATGGTGCTGAAGTAGAATGCGGCACGCCAGGCCGGCAGTGAGTCTATGGCCCGGTACATGATGAACACCCATCCCTCCTGCGAGGCGGCCTGATAGACCGTAAAAATACTCGTGGCAATGTCCTCGAAGCCATTGAAGCCAATGACATAGCTACTGAGGAAGTCCATCTTCATGCAACGCATTCCAGGTGAACACTGATAGCCGGAGTCTGGGTCCATGGAGCAGAAGGTGTCCGGTATAGCCAGCGAATTGATCGTGAGTATCCTAGTGAGAGACACACGAATGCTTAGAAGAGGGCTCACTCATTGCTATACTTGGCATACTTACGGCCTGCCCAGCAGATCATAGTTCGTATTATTCATGACGCAGTGATTCTTCAGCTCCCCGAAGAACTGTACGCCGAGCAGTCCGTATAGCGACATGAAGAATAAGAAGAAGAGCGTCACATTGTAGATTTGCTGACTCGAGCGTCTGGAAAAGAGGAGGCTCTAGCTGTCATCGACTGATTTCGAAAGGAGATGGCGCTTCACTTACTTGAAAATTTGATTGATGCGACTCTTGGGCATGCTGAACTTGAGGAAAACTCGCAGGAATCGTATCATAATCAGCGGACGTGGAGCACGCATAATAGATAGATACGAGAATCTGAAGAAGAAGAAGAAAAAAATGCTGGAAGTTTTTATGCAGTGAAATCGCATTGATGTTGACCTACTTTGGCACAATCTCAAGCACTTCGAATATCTGGAGTATGATGGAGACCCAGAGAAAGCTCACCATGGAGGCATCGAACTGGCACCAGTGATCCTTCAAGTAAGGCACCTCGCCCTGGCAAATAAATGGTTAGCTCAAACTCAAACAGAATGAACATTGCATGTTCCCATCATCCTAGTTAACTTACGTTCAGTACTCCACGAATGTGCATCTTGGCAATCATTTCGGCCGTGAAGAGCACCGTCACGGCCGTATCGGACACAAAGGTGATGTACTGCAACGAGGGATGGCGCTCGAAGGTCTTGGGCGTATTCAGCGAGACGGAGGCGAGTGAGACCAATGCACAGAGACGCATGAGCCGGCGCACCCACAGCTTGTTGACCCACTCGATGTCCGCGCTCTCGTTCAGCGACTCCTCCGGGCCGTAGTCGGCCAGAAAGGGTTCGCCGCCCTTGAGGCTCTGCTTCCTGCCGAGCATAATCTTATTGCCGATGCCAGTGGCGATGCCCAATCCGATCGGTGGCACGCCCGTAATGGCGGCGCTGCCCACAGTGCTGCTGATGCCACCGCAGATGCCCATGCCCGCCGCGGCGGCTCCACCGCCCAGGCCGCCAATGCCGCCCAGCAGATTGAGGCCGCCGCCAACGCCACCCACAGGACACACTGAGGCACCGGCTCCATTGTTGTGGGCATTGCTCGTGGATTGGCCACCGATGGCCGTTGACGCTCCCGCGCCTGCAGCCGTTGACAAGCCGCCAGGCTGCTGCTGCATCCCACCGTAGGCAGTGCTGCTGCCGCTGCCCGAGTTCACAATCGTGGTCGGACTGTTGAGCACGCTGGATGCATCTTGGCGTGTGCCCAATCCGTTGCAAGGACTGCTACCCGGCGATGGATTAAAGTTCAAATGGCTGATTTGCTGCTGCGAGCTGCGCAGATGCGAGTGCGGATGCTGATGCTGGTGCTGATGCTGGTGCGGATGCTGTTGGTGCTGCTGCTGTTGCTGCTGCTGCTGCTGTTGTTGCTGCTGCTGCTGCTGCTGCTGTTGATGGGAATGCGGATGCTGTTGGTGTTGCTGCGGTGTCAGGCTGTTTCCGCTGGAGGAACTGGTGCTGGCCGTCGCTGGCGTTGTGATGCCGCTGGCGGAGTGAAAGCTGCCGCTGCCTCCCGTCCGTTTATTACGAGCAGCTGCACCCAAGCGACGAATCTGTAAGCGGTCAATCATTCAAGCAGCGCATCTTGCTCCCGCCTGGGCCGTGAGTTATGTGAATATCCGTACCGCCAAGACAAAGGCGCAAATGTCTTCAACTTGTCAGCGTTTCTAAGTGTGTGTGCGTGTGGGAATAGACGTCAATTAGTCACAATTTCTACTACTGTCAATAGATAGGTATATGTATGTATGTATGTATGTATGTATGTATGTAGGTATGTATGTATGCACTCTGTGCCCCAAAGGCTGAAGCGCTTTCAACCCCCATGAGCAAGACAAGAGAGTGTCCTGCCTGCACACACTCACACACACATACGTATACACATTCACTAGTCTTGTTTACCACACACACTCACACATACACATATGTATGCACATATCGTACTCACATTTTCTTATCAGGTCTCTGCTTACATACTTTTGCTTTCAATCGGAATTTGCGCTTTTTTATCATTTGCCTCCATCTCAAGGGCGCGCAAAGTCAAACTGTTTTACTGTTTTACTGTTTTACCAGAACCGTCTCCTGTTCTGACTGCTCTTCAACTAAACAAAAAGTAAACGTAAATTATGAAAACGTAACGGCAAACTGCAATTGGAGAGCAACGAATGGGCGCTGGGAGCCAACGGTTATTCCAGGGACGTACACAGATGCAGACTGCTACGGCGGACTGCCTAACAGTTGACAACCTGCCAAACACAGGGTGTACGCGCTGGGTGTCCGGCGCCTGCGCACTGGCCGTGCCAAGAAACGGGTCGATGATGACCACACAGTAGTCATCAGACTTGTGGAGAGTAGTGTCACGTTTGGTGGGATAAACGGCGTGCGATTAAGTGCTTCAACTGAACATGGGCGGAACATCGTCGTCGCGCAATAAATCACAATCCGTGAGCTATCCGGAGCACGATGATCCGGCGTACCGCAAGTGCCAGGAGCTGAAGGCAAGTGCAATTATCTAATCTTGTGGTTTCTGCCAGTCTAACGAAACCCCATGCAGATGGAGCGCTGGATTCAGATGCACTACCAGATCAAGCAGCGGGAACAGGCCCTAGCCATTGCCCAGCATCGGGAGCTCTTCTACTGGCTGAGCGGCTTCTACATCAGCGCCGTCTGCGGCTGTGCCAACTATTACCAGAGGGTCAAGCGCGCCTCGGTGCTGGCACCGCTGCTGCCGCTCACCTTCGTCATGGGCTACTATGCGGACTGGGCGTACGGTAGTAAGCTGCACCGTATTCAGGGTACATCACCATCAAATCTCCCTCTCGCTCGCTCTATCATCGTCAATAATCACTCCATTTTACAGCCGAGGCGAATATAATCATGGAGCACGAGCAGGAGCTGCTGCACTGGCCGGGCGGACTACCGACGGTCGCCAGCATCGATGAGGCCCGGGTCGAGGTGCACATGGAAAAGAAAATGCATCCGCATCACATGTAGACAGACCAGTGTCCATACACGTACCCAATTTCCTCATCCAAGTGGCTCAAGTGGTTCATCTATTTTTCCGACTCTTTTGCTCAAAGTTATTATTACTCAATCGTACGTCACTTTTGCATCGGTAGTGCACTGTACATATATATGTACATATGTGTATGTATGTAGGCACTACATGTGTACATCAACTGTTGAAATACTCTTTTAAGCTCTTAAACTCTTTTCCTTCCCTATACTCTATATACATATATATATTTATATAGCTATATATAAAGGGTGCACCGTGTCTAGCAGGAGAAAGATTCATATTCATAGCAGAAGGATACATTAGCCATGTCATCTTTGCTTATAAATAAGTCTATAGGTATATATGCATGCATGTGTGTATGTACGACATGTGAATGCACAAATATGTACATGCATACGTACATACTCAGCTGGTATTCGCAGACACCTCCCATGCAGGACATTGCGAGTTGATATGATGCATGGCAACAAAGTATGTACACACATATACATACCTTTATACAATTGAATCCGGCTATAACGACTCTGCGCTTATAGCATTCGTCCAATGAAAATTCTGCTCCCTAGACAAACTTATATGGGTAAACATAGATGGCTATAGCGCCTTCCGTATATAAAGACGGTCCCCAGAGCATCGCTACAGCCGGATTCTACCGTATATGAGCGTTACTTTTAAGCATATTTATTCATTTACATATACTCTAAAAAAAAGAAAGGAAACGAAACAAGTTCACACATTCACATCATGATGTACGTCGATTCTCTTACAAGTTACCATCGGACTTACGTATATACATACTTCCTTATAAACAAGCATACAGATATTAATGGAGGAATGAATGTTTTTAAAGACAATACTTCTTATATTATACGTTTAGGTAATTATTGTAACACTAATGTATAACAAGCTAGCAATTGTAGCCTAGAGAGCATCTAATAAAGTATCTGTGTGAGTGTGTGTGTCTGTCTGTTAGCGTGTGCGTGTGTGTGTGTGTGTGAGTGTGTGTGTGTATAGTAACAGTACCAAACCAAGAACCCGATTTCAAATTCAATCCAATCAGTAGTGTATATGTCCATCCTCGAGCAGACCGTCCTCGATCCGCGTCCGGTTGTCCTTCTTGTAGTGCGTGTCGCAGAACTCGGCGATGCGCACGCAAGCCTCCTCGAGCATCGCGGCGGGGACTGTGAGCACGATGCGTATGTAGCCCGGATAGGAGAAGCAGCTGCCGGGCAGGCAGAAGACGCTCTGCTCGTTGACCAGCTCCTGCACGAAGTGCGTGTCGTCCTTGAAGGCCAGAAAGCGCTCAATGCAGACGCCAATCATCATGTACATGGCGCCGTTCGGCATCACGGGATTGAGTCCGGGCACCGTCTTCAGCATCTTGTACGCCAGCTGGGCATTGGTCTATGTTGAATATGAATATTATTATTGGGAATTAGTGTTTATTCCAATGTTCACTCACGTGAAGCACCTCGATGACGCTATCAAAGTAGGACTGCGGCGTCTTGGTCAGTATGTCGGGTAGTGCACCCTGGATGATGGTGTTCGTGCCGAGAATGCGGCCGCACATGTTCTTGAGGCCGTTGAGTGCGGTGCCCAGACGCTTGTGATGGTCATGCACAATGATCCAGCCCATGCGCCAGCCGGGCACCAGGAAGCGCTTAGTGAGACCGCCGCACGAGAGCACCGGCACCTCGCGGGTGAGGCTGCTAACCGCCACGTGACGCGAGCCCGGAAACACAAAGTGCTCATAGATCTGATCAAAGACAAGAAAAAAGGAAGGCAAGTGGTAAAGGGATCGTCGAGCGATTCAATGAGCACTAACCTCATCGGCGATTATGGGCAGATAGTGGCGCTCGCAAATGGCAATCAGCTCCAGCAGGTGCTCCTCATCGTAGACGCTGCCGCAGGGATTGCTCGGATTGTTGATCAGCAGCGCGGCTGTATTCGCATCGATCAGGCTCTCCAGCTGCCGGAGATCGGCACGCCACTGCTTCTCCGGCAACAGTTCGTAGTAGCGCACCTCGATGTCCAGGCCCTCGGCCAGGGTGTGGTAGAGGCAGAAGCCCGGCCGCGGCACCAGTATGTTCTGGCCGCGCTCGGCCAGCGCCAGTATGCAGTACTCCAGGGCCGACGAGCAGCCGCTGCAGAGCAGCACGTCGCTTGGATCGATTGTGCCGGCAGGACGCTGATGTGCACTGTACTTGGCCACCGCCTGGCGCGACGCCTCATGGCCCTGGGTGTGGGCATAGCCATTGAACTTGCCGCTCTCCAGCGAGCGGAGCACAGCCTTCATGGTCTCATCGGCCGCCTTCAGGTTGCCGAACGTCGTGGGATCACCTACGAAATGAGATGAACTATGTAGAACTACTCTGTCTTCAACTCGCAGAAGATCTCTGGGAGAAGGCCAGCCCTAGCAGTGTGTGCATACACTCTGGATCCTAACTGATTTTCTCCGACCCGGCCTAAAACTCGTTTCGCGTATTTTTGCATGTTTCCGCCTTGTCATTGCGTCCCATGTGGGACAACAATATTCCACCTTCTAAGCAAATTCGATTCTTGATCTTGCTCCAAACAGGTGAAACTACATTTTATGCAAATGCATCGAAAACGCGCGCGCGCGCGCGACGCCATGAAAAATATATTAAAAACAACAAAAATAACAATAACAAAAAAAAAAAGAATA